AATAAAGTCATAGACCTGAGTAGACGAGGTCATCTAATCTACTCCCTTGTGCTTGGCAGGACAGAAATCACTTTGAAAATCTTGAAGTGCTGTAAGAATGTTATTAATTTTTATTATGTAAATCATATTAATTTTAGCTCAATGGTTCCCATATATTCAAAGTAGCCAGGTGTAGTGGAAAGAGTGCTGGATTTGGAACCAGGAGACACCTGGGCTCAAATCCCAGCCCTGACCCTTACTAGCTGTGTTACTTTGGGCATGTCGATTTACTTTGAACTTCTGTTTCCTCTTCTGTAAAGCTATACCTATAGTATTTATCTACCGTAGGTAACCCAGGAATATCTGGCCAGCTTCAAGTCCCACTACCTACCTGGCTCCATGACCTTGGGCAAATCACTCAACCTCTCAGTGTCCCAGGCAATTCTCTAAGACTATAAATTGCAAAGAAGGTGCTAATCTTCATTGGCCAAGGAGGTTCTTGACCAGAGCTACCTAAACAGATGATATCATGTTATGTTTAAAAAAAAATCAGAAAATAGTGTGGATTAAATGAGATAATATAGATAAAGCACTTTGCAAAGATGTCCCTGTCTAGAACTTTTTTTTAAAATACAGTGTTTTTAAAGTGAATTAAAATTAGTTTTGTCCTGAAAATTTATTTCTTGAAATAAATTGAGTCATAATTTGGGTGGGCATGAAACAAGAGAAAGCATCATAAAATCAGTGTTGGGGTCACTAATTTTTCTTTTACTATTTTTCTAAGTTCATGAAAAGCTAACAAGCTAGAGATAGAGACTGGATCAATGGAATATAAAAACAAGAAACCTATGGAAAAATGAAAGCATTTGTATATTATCCTCTTATGCCTCCAACCATGGGGGGGAAAACCCAGTACGGTTCAAATGCAGTTAAGTATCCAGTTTATTTTAAACATCTTTTGTGTTCCCCATACCCTCAGTCACAAATAGCAGGAGATAAAATGTGATGGCTTTGGGGTGTCTAATAAAACACTTTAAATCACTGAAATAAAATCACCTGAAGCAAATACTTTACCTGGAAGGGGGCTTGAAGAACAAGATTCCTTTGCTCCTTCCCATACAGAGTTAAGTATTTAACAAATACTATTCACTGTCTTTTCTCTTTCACATAGTTTAGAAGTTTGGATTTTTGTGATTAGATAGAAGCTCTTTCTCCTTTCCTAAAATAGTTTCAAAAAGAAATAAAACTGTTTCTTATATAGCTTATTAAAATGAATGAATCCTAATCCCAACTTTGAATGTGATTAACTTTCATTATAACCATGAAGAGGAGAAAATTCTCTCTGAACCCACTGAGAATTCATAGGCTATAGCAGGCAAGAAATTCTATTTTGTGTATTTGTGCTCAAATTCCAGGCTGTAAGGGAGATGAGGAGCTGTAACTCAAATCATTAAGGTAGATGAGCAAAGCCATAATTAGGAATTTTTACACAGGGCAAATGTCAGGAAGGCCACCCTCAGTGGAGGATGGTATTGGTAGAAGCAGCAGCTTTGGGTTACCTATGGTACTATTACAGATATTATTTTACAGATGAGAAAATTGATGGTCAAAGAGATTAAGGAATTTGCCCAAAATAACACAGTAAGGGTCAGAGTAGGATTTGAACCCAGATCTTCTGACTCCAAGTCTATAATTCTTTTCACACCCACAATTTCCAATGGTGGAAGCCATTGTTCTCCTACATGTGCTTTAATACTTATTAAAATAATAATGAATCAAAGTTTTTAAGGTTTTCAAAGTGATTCCTGTCTTACCAGAGAACTTGGTCTTTGCAGGGGTAGAAAGTAAGATGGATCCAAGAGGAAGTAACTATTCCACCATTTGGCAGCTCCTTATCTTTACTATTCTTGCTAATTATGTACAAAATTCTGTTTTGTTCCTGATGAAGGAAGATAAGTGTCTTCAGGATGCTTTAACCTCTTCACCCTGACCTGGAGCCCTAGTCTTCCTGCCCAGATTAGAATTCTTCAGAGTGGCCATAACTAAGGATTCAAATTCTTTCTCCTCCCCAGCAGTTAGGTGAAGTAGTGAATAGAATGCTGGATTTAAATTCAAGAAGATTTACACTTGAATCCTATCTCAGACATACTTAATAGCTTGGCAGTTAGGTGCTATAGTGAATAGAATGCTGGATCTTGAATCCTACCTCAGACATATTTAATAGCTAGGTGACTCTAGGCATTCTTTTAACCTCTTCCAGCCTTAGTTTCCTCATCTGCAGAATGGAAATAATCATAGTGACTACCTCTCAGGGTCGTCATAAGAATCAAATTAAACATCCAAGTTTAAAAGTTTAATTTATAAAGGTCAGCTATTAATGTTATTTCAGATCTTATAGGTACAGTCTCGAGTTTGAAATCAAATTTGCAAATAACATAGCATGAAGTGATTTGCCTTGATGTAGATTTGAATGCAATTTTTTAGTGTCTGATAGCTTTAATGTATTGGAGTTCCTTCAAGAAATTTTTTTCTTAGCCACTTTGCTTGCTATCATTTAGATAATAGAGTAATTTCCTTTAGCCACCTGGTAAAAGTTAGGGGTTTTAGTGGTGTGCTAGCGTTAGAGTCTAATTAGATTGTGAGCTCCTTGAGGGTAAGGAATGCCCCTTAGTACTTTTTGCTTCCCCAATGTTTTGTACAATGCCTGGCATATATAGGCTCTAAATAAATGTTTACTGATTGACTGAAGCACTATTTGAGTCAGCAGTGTGATATGGCACCCTAAGATAGTAGCATTAGCTACTGAAGGACAGTGATCTGATCAGACCTGCATGTTGGCAGATCATTATCTAGTTTGGAAGACCTATTCTGAAGCAGTAATTTTCAGCAGTGTTAAGAAAATGTTTGGAGGCCTATCAGGTAGTCCTGAGATCCCAGAGAACTTTTAGCCACTTGCACTTAAAAATATCTGCCAAATCGTTTAACTATTTGGGGGTCATCTTGTTTTGAGCCTTTTCCTAATAACCCATTTGGGAGGCAGTGTGTCATAATAGAAAGTTCTAGCACAGTATTTTATACAGGATAGGCATTTTATAAATGCTTCGTGCAGATGCAGTGTGACATGGTGAGTACTGCACTGGACATGGAGGTGAGAAAGATCTAGGTTTGAATTCTGTCCCTGATTCTTACTGTTTGTGTGATTAGGCAACAAATTCTTTAACAATTCAGCAAACTGTTACATAGCACCTGCCACATGTATGTTTTGAACATGTATCAAATCAGGAAGACTGTGGAAAGAGTCCTTTCAGTGCCTTATCTATGTACTAAAATTGTGATTTGCCTGAGATCACACAACCAATATGGAACAGAGATACAACTTTAACTCAGTTTGTTTTGGCTTCAAGGCTGGTTCTTTTGTCCATTACTCCATGGTGGATCTACTTCCTTATGTGGTTGTAACTGTACTTTTCTGCTCCTTGTGTGTTGGGAATATTTTAGCTATTGCATTTTTATCCCCAACATCTTGTACTGGGCCTGGCACATTGTAGGTGTTTAAAAAGTGTTTGTGGGTTGATTGATTGATTGATTGATTGATTGACCAGAAAAATGCACAGAGGTGGAGGAGCTGGTAGGAGGAGATGGGGAACAGCTGGTAGTCCAATTTGCCTAGCCAGTAGAGTATCAGACTCTGGAGTTTTTATCTTGTAGGCAACAGGAAGCCACTGGAGATTTTTGATGAGAGGAATGACCTGATAAGACCAGTGCATAGAGCAGATTACTTTGGCATGTCTCTGAAGGACAAAGATGAATTGGAGGGGGGGAGAGGTGGGGAGAGAAGAGAGAGAGATAGACAGAGACAGAGACACACAGAGAGAGAGAGAGAGAGAGAGAGAGAGAGAGAGAGAGAGAGAGAGAGAGAGAGAGAGAGAGAGACAGAGACACACAGAGAGAGAGAGAGAGACAGAGACAGAGACAGAGAGACAGAGACAGACACAGACAGACAGACAGACAGACAGAGACAGGGAAGAACCAGATAGAAAAAAGTAATCAAAACCTCAATGAGGGAGATGACAGTGTAAGTGGAGTTGGGGGAGAAGAGGGGAGAAATATTTTTCAGAAAAGATTCACAGAACTTGGCAACTGATTGGATATGCAAAGTGAGTTAAAGGGAAGAGTCAAAGAGGACCTAGGGGTTTTGAGGTTGTGAGACTGGGGAAATGTTGATGCCATGAACAGAAACAGATAAATTAGGAAGAGAAGCATGTTTGCAGGAAAGGTGCTGGGTAGAGGCTTGGCCTCGTTCTATTGGTGAAGACAGTAGAGTGCTGGAAAGTGGGATTGTAGCTCAGTAGAGAGGTACGGAGCTGGAGAGAGATTTGGTTGTCAAACCTTTAGAGGTGATTACTGAAGCCGTGGCAGTGGATGAGATAGCCAAAGGAGACTTCTGAGAGCAGGATGTAAGATAGTTAATCCTTAAGTGTTATACTCACACTTTAGTGTTATGCTCACACTTTAAAATGGGGATAATAAAACCACCCACCACACAAGATGGTTATAACAATTGAGATATTTGTAAAATACTTAGCACAGTGCCTCGCATATAATAAACGCGGATTCTCCTCCCTCACCCCCTTTTAAAACCAACAAATAATTATCTGGCAGATTAACTTTAAGGGAGGGAAAATACCTATATAAAGTCTGCACCTGACACAAATGAGTAGCTGGGAAGCAAACCGCTCCACCCTGCAAGTAATCTAACAATTCTCTTCCCTGCCGGACCTTCCCTTCTCTGGGCTGGAAGAAGGGAAACAGAGAAAGAAAGGTATGTGCTTTCCTTATCTTTTACAGAAGTGTGGGGTTATCAAGTTGTGCCCTCCCCTCCCCGCATTGCTCTTGGTCTTTGCTCCCTGGTCATCGGGCCCACTTTTTGCTTCCTTTTATTTTTCTCCGGGCTGACTTTCTGGCTCCCTACTCACTCCCAGCCCCCAGCCGCACGCAGTCCTCTCTCGTGCTGCAATACGAGATCCTGCCACTCGCAGCAGAAACCTACCTTAGCTATTGAGCATGCACAAATGAAGAGCTTTGCGCCTGCTCTGTAGCTAAATCGGACTTTGGTGGAGAGTATCAGTATCTTGTGGGGCATTTGGCACTAGCTTCTCCTCTCTGATCTCCTTGGCATTCTCTCCTTGTAGAGTGTGATTCCTGTTTCATTCCCTGGCAACCCCCCAACCTTGTGAAGTAAAGAACTCTCCAGGTTTCACTCTCACTTCTTGCCCTCCTCTTGTAGATCTCGGGTGCACTGCACTCTACGGTGAAAAACTCGGCAGAAGCAAGGCAAAGTTGGCGCGCTCTCCTTCAGCGCTGCGAGAAGCAGCCGAGGCTCCGAAGCTGTAGAAGCTGACCCGGGGCTCAGCAGAGGCTGAGACTGGTGCGACCCCGCTCCCCCTCAGTGTCACCGGAGCTGCACGGCACGCGAAGCTCGCTCCAACTTTATTAGCGCCCAGGTCAAACCCAGGCAAAGGAACCTCATTACAGTCTCCAGATGGAGTGGACAGGGAGGAATGCACACAACGCACTGGGCAGGGCAGCCCTCTCTCCCTCCCCTCAGACTCCCACTGCACTATGAGGAGGGGCTTGTTGGAGACAGGCTTAAGTGCATCGGGGCTGCTGAGAGCCAGCGGCTCCAGGACATCGCTGGGAGGGGGAGTGGCGCTGGCGGGATCAGCAGCCCTGGGAACAAACTCCTGTGGCCGCCTCCTTGTCCTTATCCTCCTCCTCCTTGTCCTTCTCCTCTTCCTCCTCCTCTTCCTCCTCCTCCTCCTTCTCCTTTTCCTTTTCCCTTCTTAACTTTTACTCTGGTGGAAAGCTTGCGGCAGCAGCGTTAATTGCTTTTCCCGACGACGCCCAGGACTCCCAGTTCCTTTTCCTTGGGAACTCTGGAAGCCCCCAGCAGCAGCCTCCGCCCTCGCTTCTGCCCAAGAGTGAGCCTGTTCTGGGGCTAGTTATGAACCTCCTGCTGCTGCCCCCGCTGGGGGAATTAGACAGGACTGCGGGGTTCTCTGCCACTGCGGACGTATCCCGTAAAGGATAGAAGCCGCTGATCAGCACTACCATCTCTGCCCTCGAGTGCCTGAGGCTGCTAGCCTTTGCCACAAGCCTTTATCCCCCCCCCCCTGCTCACCATCCCAGTATACCTGGAGGTGGGGAGAGGTTAGGATTCGGGTGGAGAGAGAATTTGTGTTCTCAGAGGGTAGGGGCACCACCATCGAGATGTCAGCGCAAAGCCTGCTCAACAGTGTCTTTTCCTGTTCCTCTCCAGGGACCAGTGCTGCCTCTGGCAAGGGTCTGTCCAAAAGGAGATTGCGCCAGACCCGCAGCCTAGACCCTGCGATCATCCGCAACTATGGCCGAGAACCAGAGGAGGAGGAGGATATTGGTGGGCCCATTCATAACAGGGTTACTTTGGGCCCAGTTAGGGGAGCAGGCAGTGGGGGCAGCAGCCCCTGTACCCCACTTTCTTCAGCCGAGTGTCTCGCAGTGTCTTCTTCTAGGGGTGCAGTTCGAAGGGGGTTGCCATCTCCTGACCCTCTGTGCTCATCCTTCTCAACTCCCAGTACCCCCCAGGAGAAGTCACCCTCAAGCAGCTTCCACTTTGACTATGAACCAGCCTTGGGACGAAACACCCTCAGGAGGAATATGGCCTTGGACCTGCCTTACTTCCTGGCTGGGCCCAGTAGTGGACGGTCCTCTTCCACTGCCGGCATCCTCACCTCCCCAGGTGGAAGTACCAACAGCATCTTCTCTTCTCCTCGGAGATGGCTCCAGCAGAGGAAATTACAGCCGCCACCTAACAGCAGCAGTCATTCCTACATTGTGTGGAAGTCTGAGGTAGGGACATTGGTTGGCCTCTTTGTTTCTTAATTCCTGCTACTCATTCCCAGAAGAAGGGGGGCTCTGCAAATGCGCCGTTGGGGCATTTTTAGGGAGCTAACTGTTGCTAGACGGGACTGATTGTATTCTTTCATTGAGTCAAGCTGGTGACTTTTTAGGGACAAAACCTGATGAATGGTCTTACATGGTGAGGATAGGAAGCGAGATTGTGACTGGCGGTAGGCAGCCCCTAGTGGCCACTTCAACGGCCCGGGGCTCGGAAGGTTTGATGGAATTTGGACAGAGCAGAGAGAGAAGAGATATTTTGGGCTATAGAAGAGCTTGTATTTCAAGAAATAGGAAAAGTGTTCAGAATTTTGCCTTATTGCGTTTTCTTTTTCAAAATTTAAATTACCATTGTTCGTACTTTCAGTATCTGTGAAAATTATTTTACAATGCATGTATTTGTTGTCTTTCAATTAAGAAATTAAGAATATGCAGAAATTAAGAAATGCAGAGACTTTCAGGAATTTTCAGTGTTTTGACTTTTTTGGCACTCTCTGGCTCTTGTATGATTATGCAAATACTCAACTTCAAAATTATTCTTAGTGGTATTTCTTTGTTGTTATCAACACAAATATCTAATGGTGGTCGGTAAAACCATTCTCTTTTACCACATTACTGTACTAAACTCCCTGAAGGATACTTCCCAGGTAATATAATAAATCTGGAATAGGAACTAATGAAAACATTACATTCAGAAGTTGGTATTTCATGTTTTCTCCATTTAATGCTAGGGAATAAAATTTCTGAAAAGATTTCTTAGATTGGTATTTTTTATAACAGCATATTAACTGTTTTGAAAGCAAAACTTGTCACCTTTGGACTGTAAACTGCTAGTTTGGGATAAGTTAGGGAGTTTTAATAAACTGTAATGATGTGCTTTACACTGTTCATAAAAACTTTATTGATTACATTAATGAGAAAATACTACAGAATTAACTTGATTTTAACTAAAAACAATACCAAGAAACAAACTCAATGTGTAAAATTAAGAAATGCTAGTTTAAATTTCAAAAACCTGGCATTATATAATCAGTGAAATGTCTGTTGCTGTTTATTTCATAGATGTAGGGATTCATTGCTTTATTATCCCCTCCTATCTGGGAGGTAATTAGATACTGTCAATTAGTATTTTGATAATATTTAGCTTCAAACTGTGTTTTAAAAATAAGACAAACTATCCTAATATTGGTAATTATAACCACTGGTTTATCTATCCCTTAGTTATGACAAAATGGAGACCCTAAGGGAAAAAAACTGGATCAGAGACAAAGAAAATTACCCCAAATTATGAAGTCACAATCATAGATGGGCTTAGAAAATTTAAAAATAAAAGGCTTCCTAGTTTCTTTCCCAAGTTACAGAAATATGTATTATCAGATTAACGTTTGCTTAAAAGAGCTATGTTACAGTCAAGCTCTATGAAGATAAGGTCCTGATTATATAGTCCCTAGCTATAACATTTGAAGACAATTATATCACTAAAGAACTTTTGGGGGTTTTTCTTAGTAAACTGTATAATCCTTGTCCTAATAACCTAAAGAGAAACAATAAATGCTGACAGGACTTTAGCTGTCATCAAAAAGAGTATGTAGGAGATCCTAGAAGATTGCATTTAGTTGAAAATTACATTGTTACTAGGATATGTATCTAAGTTGTAGAAATGCCAAACCCCATGAGTATACTTCAAATTATGTTACTAACTTTTCCAAAAGAAACTCATCTGTCAAGAGTTTATTCACTCTGCATATTTGTTTAGCATAAAAGTGAGTACGTGGGCATCCAGAAAAAGAATAAACCCTTGTCATAAAGTTTCTTGTTCTAATTTTGAAAATTAACTTCTGCCCTCCCCCAGTTATCAGTCCCTTCAGTCCCGTCTTTATTGAAGAGAATATGCAGTGTTCAGAGTGACAATGCTACATGTAGGTATAAATATTAGTCTCCTTAATAGTATCCTAAAAGATATCTTGGGTCAGAAATGCAAGAATCTAGCCTGTAGTTTGTGTGTGTGTGTGTGTGTGTGTGTGTGTGTGTGTGTGTGTGTGTGTACATGTGCAGGAGGGATGCTGCTGCTACCATGATGCTATCTGAAGTAAATCATCACTAGGTAAAGTCCTATTCTGTGTTACTCTTCATTCTTCTCTTTTTGGACACTCCTTGTCCCAGTTATTTTTTATATCCATTATTCTCAAACTCAGACCACAATTTCTTGCCTTACCCCTGGATCTTGGGAAGTTCTAACACTGACCTTTGAATGACCTGCTCCATTTATCATTGGTTTGATGCAACAGGGCATTTGTTGAACTGTGCCCACTCTTTTCCCTGGCATATTAACTCACCTGCTCATTCTCACCATGGGCTGGCTGCCTTTCCACACCCACAGATTTATGGGATGTCATAGATATTTGGGAAATTTGCATTATGGAACTGACCCATGGCCCATGACTAGCTGGCCCTAGTGCTGTATCTGTCCACCTCCAAACAAATTTCCCTTTATTTGGACATGCAGGGATGCAGCACAGAGGCCAGCCTGCTTTCATCAAACAGGCGTCATTTTACCATCTAAGGACCCTAGTAATGCTTGGCCAGTGTCCCATAATGTCTTACTGTGTCTCTCCAAAGTTACTTATACACCTTGAGGAAAGTCTGGATTATACAAACCTGTCAAGCACTTCTTAGTTACTTCAGAGAAATTCCCTGCATTGTCTCTGGCTGATCAGCTTCCTGTCTGGCCACTGGAATGCAGTTAGGTAGCAGCATGGCCTCTGCAGGTCTAAATAGTGCATATGCGGGTTCATCATGTCTCATCCCAGGTCTCAACACTGCTTAGCTCTCATCTGTTCCTCCATGAACATCTTCTGATTTGATGAAGTCTTCAAGCTCTCTTGCATACTGTCCAGTTTCTTTGGCCTTTTGCTGTTTATAGGAGGCTTGAGATTTCACTTACAGATCTGACCAGTGATTATAGCTCTTAAATACAAGTTCCCTTAGCAAACTCTCTGGTGTTTGGCTAAGAAGTCAAAACAAGAAGCTACTGTTTTTGAGAGTATTCCATCTCATTGCAACTCCATGTCCTCTGTATATGTTGGCCAAACCCAGAGCTCAGAATTAGAATCTTAATGTCTTTATAGAAAGATAGGAACCCTCTCATCTGGAGTTTGATTTCTACCCTAAACTTCACTGAGGCAAACTCTGCCATCAGTGTGTGATTGATGCTCACATCACGTTGGTATTCTTCTATTCGTATAGACTACAATTGAGTGGCCAGCTCCCAAGAAAATATGGTCTTAGCTGGCCAGGGGCTGGTAAGTTACTGAGGTTTAATAATAATCAGCATTTATATAGCCCTTTAAGGCTTACAAAGTGCTTTACCAATATTATCTCACTTTATATTCACAATAACCCTGAGAGACAGGTGCTATTATTACCACTATTTTACAAATGAGGAAACTGATGCAGTGAATAGCCCAACATCACAGAACTAGTAAGTGTCTGAGGCTATACTTGAACTCAGGTTTTCTTGACTGAAGGTCCATTGCTCTGTGCATTGAGCCACCTTACTGGTTGTGTTATTAAGCTTCTTCTTGGGCTATTTCTAATACTTTCCTACATACTCTAGTTCTCTGGAACCATAAAGGCAAGAATTAGGTATTTGGAGGCAAACAAACCCTGAGAAAGCATGTAACTACTACAAGTAATGGGAGTATCACTAGATATAAAGACATTATTTGCATTAATGAAGAGAATCTTGAACATAACTAAATCCAAGTTTTCTTTCTGGCTTATGTTGGATTGAGGCATATAGGGAAAGAATTCCTGTAGAAAGTTAGATTTTAGCTGGAACATGAAGGAAACTAGGGATGCTAGGAGGTGTGAAGAGGAGTATTCCAGAAATGGAAAGAGAGTCAATGAAAATGCTCAGAGTGGGATATGGAGTGTTTTGTGTGAAGAACAGCAAAGAGGCCATTGTCCCCAAATCATAGGGTACTTGAGAGTGTAAGATGCAAGTAGACTGGAAAAATGCATTTGTATGTGTTTATGGGGGTTGGGGAGGGGAAGGTACAGCTTATGAAAAGCTATGAAAGGCAAACGGAGGATATTATATTTGATCCTTAAGATGAGCCACTGAAGTTTATTGAGTTGGGGAGGAGGGGAATGATGTGTCAGACTTATACTTTAGAAAAAGCAACTATCACTTTAATGGCTGAGTGGAGTATGGACTGGAGTATCTAGAAATTTGTGGCAGGCCAAGCAACCAGCAGGCTATTGCAATAGTTCAGGTATGAGGTGATGAGGTCATGCACCATCAATGGAGGGAATTTCCATTCCGTGAATTCTTTATCCAACAAAATCTCAGGCCCATACCCCCCTAAAAAAATCCTCCTACCTTCTTTCCCCCAAAAGAGCTAGAGGGTGTACCAAAAGTTTTAGTACAGTTGTAAACTTTAATAGGTTAACTGAATGTTAAATAAGGATACAGCTATTTATATTGCTATGTAATTGGTCTTCATTTCAAAATGCTGTACTTGGTAATAATAATTGCTATAAAATTAAGGCATTTATAAAAAATAAGGTGCTATTTTCTCTTTAAATAATTTTTTTGACAAATTCTGTATAGCTCTTTGACATGTTGTTTGTACAACTGAATTCTTTGCCATCCTGTCAAACATACTCTTAATTAAACTGCACACACAGCATACTAATACCAGTTTGTTAAATCTGTACTAAGTTACACAGTACATCACCCACTCTTCCAGCTGTGGTTTAAGATCTATATTCATTTTTTTAAAGGCATGTGGATATATGTATCATGGACAAAGTTCTGAGGAAGGCAGATGTGCCTTAGAAGGCAACAGATATCCTATTTCTCATTCTCTCCTTTTGACCTCACTCTCTTCTGCCAGGGTTCCTACAGGTTGTTAAAAACAAATTGTCATTCAGACTTCGATTTTCTT